GCTAGTAGAATCTAGTAGATTCTTTGACCTTTTTAGTATAGAATTATGTCATATACAAATTAGAATAATTTGACCTCTTCCTCTCCTATTTTACTCCCTTTAGGTCTTATTCTTGTCTAGTTGCAATGGTTAAGACTTCAAGCACTATATTAAATACCAGAAAAAAGAGTGGGCATCCTTGTCTTATTCCTGATTTTAGAGGAAATGCTTTCAGTGTGCCTCCATTTAATATAATGTTGGCTTTAGGTTCGTTCTAGATGGCCTTTATTATTTTGAGATATGCTCCATCTATTCCTAACCTCTCCAAAACATTTGTCATGAAGGCATGTAGAACTTTGCCAAATGTCTTTTCAGCATCAGACAAGATGATTATGTGGTTTCTGTCTGTTAGTGTTTATATGGTGTATTACATCTAGTGGTTTACATATGTGAACCAACCTTGCCTTTCTGGGATGAAGCTCACTTGTATGATCTTGTAAATATGTTCCTGAATTAGGTTTACAAGTACTTGGTTGAGAATCTTTACATCTATGTTCATCAAAGAAATTGTCTATAGTTACTGGGTTTTGCTTTGTCTTTACCTAGTTTTGGTGTCAGAACAATCCTGGCTTCATAGAACAAATTTGGTAATGTTCTTTCACTTTCTATTTTATGGAAAAAGTTCGGAAGTATTGGCATGAAGCTAGGTGTGGAGGTACATGCCTCTAATCTCAGCACGCTATATAGTGAATTCCAGGCCAGATAGGACTAGAGGGAAACCCTAGCACAAAACAACATTTTTTAATGAAGAAAGGTGCTGGAGGCCTAGTTACAGGGTGCTGTCTAGGAGCACTGGAGCCATAGGTCTGGTTCCACCAAGCTCCCTGCTGCTGTTTGAGATGGAGGCCTGGCTGCGCCCTACAGTCCATCAGTGAAGGAAATCAGGGCAGGAACTCAAGGCAGGGATCTGGAGGCAGAAGCTGAAGCAGAGACCAAGGAGGAATGCTACTTACTAGCTTGCTCCCCTGGCCTGCTCAGCCACCCTTCCTATATAGCCCAGGCCCACCTGCCCAGGAATTAGCCTCCGATATCAACCAGCAATCAAGAAAATGACCCATAGACAAGTTCACAGGTCAATCCGTAGGGGAAATTCTTCAATCCCTCCTTCTTGGTGTCTCTAGTTTTAAACTAACAAGCACGCACCCTTATGGCTGCCCTCTTTTACATCTGTCCCATCACCACCTTATCCCTAAGCATGTCAGCAGAACATGGTTTGTGAACACTCTTCAATCATTTTTTTATTGGTCTTGATAGTCACAGACTGCTGAAGACAGGGGTGGGCAGCAAGGATTAAGGGATTTGCCCAGCTAATGAGGAAAGGGATTAGGATACCAGTTTTGATCTCTGACTCTTACCCAATGTTCCTGGTAACAGGAGTTTTTCGGGTGAAAGCCATCTGAAGACAGAATGATAGCAAGACCTCACAGTGCCTGCCACCTTGGCCTTAACATTAATGTTTGCCCTCTCATTTTGCAGTGGAAGACAAGCTCAAGAGACAAGATGTCATCCCTGGATACTCCCAAGATGTGACCTGTATACTCTGGGCATCCAGCACCCTGCACCCCCAGTTTCTCACAGACCTTTTCAAAGTCACCACAAACTGGGACCCAAGCAGGGTGTCTGGCATGCAGGAGCTACCTCTTTAGGGGGCAACCCTCAAGTTCAATAAGTCTTTCTTGAAGAGGGGGGCCCTGAGAGAAGAGGGGAGGAATGATGTCATAGGCTGGGAAAGGGGTAGAGTCCCAGGTGGAGTAAAGCCAGTCTGGGAAGGAGGCAGAGGAAGGAGCCCAGGGGAGGCCTGGACTGTGACCTCACTTCATGGTGACACAGGGACTGCACAGGACAAGGGGCACAGCAGGGACTAGATCTGCTGCAGAGGGGCCTTCTGGGAGGGTCTGGCTGCAGGAACCTGGGACTGCCCTGGGCTGGAGATTCTAGAAGTCCCCACCTCCTTCCTGCACCAATGGGCCTGACTCGAGGAATACTTTCAGTTTTGTTTTCTTGCCTGCAAGAAACGAAACTTCACAAAAAGACTCCAGGGAGTGGACCATGGAAGGTGACTTCCAGGAGTGCAGGAACTGGTAAGAAGCCACTTTTTCCAGAGCTAGCCAGAGCAAAGGGCATCAGATCCCAGAAAGCTGTTTCTGAAGTGGGGAGGCCACAGTCCACATATAGACACACCGGAGGGCCACGAGGGGGCCCTGAAGCCCTAGGATAAGAAGGTCCAAACTCCCTAGATCTCTGGATGGTGTGGTTAGTAGTGCCTCAACTTCATGACACTCCCTCAGTGTGAATGTTTCAGACTTTCTGGGTCAATCATGAAGTAAAGTAGCCAAAGATTTGTACCTAGTGAGCTACTTGTTCCTGTCAGAGCTTAGTTTGGGGATCTGGCAACATGGTCTTCCTACCCATCTGTGAGAGAAAAGAGCCCAGGAAGTGCTCCAAGGTTAGTCCCACCATCCCCCTGATGGAAATCTGTGAGAAGAGGGAGGACAGAGCAGGAGGCCAGGACTATACCTCCAGGTAGAGAGACCTGTCTTGTCAGAGTGCTACCCTCGAAGACCCCTACCTGTTGCAGGAACTGGGGTGAGCCTCCCCTGAGACCTGTGCTCCCATCACACCTTTTAGGACCTCTGGAAAAAGCACTTGAGGCACCGCCAGTAGGCAGAGCAGAGAGAGGGCTCAGAGTAAAGGGAAGAGATGCCCCCCCACCCCGCCGTGGGGACAGCTTGCTCAGGCCAAGAGAAGTGAGGCCTTAATGGTCCCTCTCTAGTCATGTCCCAAGCCTGGGCCATGGGTGTGCATCTCCCCCTGGGAATCTGGCCCTTTGGGGACACAGCCAGTGTTTCTTCTCTCCTGGGCTGCCACTAGCAAGTGTGAGTGGAAATTAAAGCAGCATCTCCAGTGGTGAGTATTGTTAGAGAACACCCTACTCTGGAAGTGGGAGGCTTTCCTGGGAGGATGTCAGACACTCTCCCGGCAGCCACAGGAGAGCGTGCAACAGAGGACAGTTGGGTGGCCTCTCAGTCTCGGAGCATTGGGCAGTTCTTGGAGGTTCCAAAAGTTGCTCTTGCCCTCATGGGGGAATGTAGGCATGGCAGAGCTACGTTACCAACCAGCGTATTTGTTACCTCCTTTTTCATTTTGGCTTTGAGAGGTAATTAGAAAAGGACATTCTCTTTCTCTCTCTCTCTCTCTCTCTCTCTCTCTCTCTCTCTCTCTCTCCTAAGCTTTGAACCTAGAGTAGAGTGTTGCACATTCGAGGCAAGCACTCTGCCACGGAGCTGTATCCCCAGCCATCTTTTCACCTTTCATTTGGAGACAGGGTCTTACTGAGTTGCCCAGGCTGATCTTGAACTCACTCTGTAGCACAGGTAGGCCTTGAACTAGCCATCCTCCTGCCTCAGTCTTATGAATAGCTGGATTGCAGGCCTGTGCCACCAGGTCCAGCTACACATCACTTGACAATGTAAACATTTTGTTAAACATGACATTTTGACAGTTAAACACTCATACATATACCTGTATATTCACCTGTGAAACCATCCCACAATTCAGGAAATGAAGCTATCATCTCTCAAAAGTCTCCCTGTTGTCCTGGTGACCCCTCCCTCTCCTTCCTGTCCACTCACCTGGGCAATTGTGGGACTTTATAGATTGTTCTCACACGATACTGACTTTTTTACCTCTACACCAACACGAAGAGGACAGACGGTTAGCATCAGCACCTTTGTGTTTTCTGGCCTGTGAGGAACTGCTCTATGTGTGCAATGTCTCCCTGCTTTATACCAAGACAATGAGCCTGTCTTTCTTCTCCCTTTATCCTGTAGCAAAAGAAGTGTGGCCTCTGTCCACTTCACCCTCCACGAGGCTCACTGCCTGCGCTTTCTGGTCCTTTGCTCAGAGTGTGAGGAGCCCATCCCCAAAGGAAAGATGAAAGAGCATCTTCAGGATGCACACCAGCAGGTGAGCAGGTGGCAGGAAGGGGGCCAGGAAACAGAGTCCAGTTCTCCATGGCCCGGTGGGTGAGTCACTCAGTCCCTCCATGTTCAGCCTGTGTTTGGGAAACGGAAAGGTAACTCTGTCTTTCTCAGGCTTAACTGTGTCCGCCCCCAGTTTTCCCTTTTCTAGTCTTTTCTGCAGGCTTAAGGGTCTGTCAAGGCCTTTAAACAAAGGTTGAATGTTCTTTTGAATGATGCTTATGACACAGGGAAATGGGAAAAGGGGAAATGGGAAAGGAAGAACCCAGCAGGCAAGCAAGCCCAGCCAAGTCTTCTTTCCTGCTTTGTTTTCTCAGATCCTTTGGGGACACCTAATCTGTCTTTCTGAGAATCAAGCTCAGGCATACATTTAAGCCCAAGCTGGTTCACTTCTTGAGCACTGAGCTGGGCACTAGAGGGAGACTAAGGGAGCTAGAATTCATATTCCCCAAGGGATAGTTCCTGCCTCTGACTCTTGACAACACTTTCTCTGACTGGCTTCAGTTCCCTAAGGAATTGGGTACATGTCCTCCATCTGCCCACAGACAAAGAAAAGTCAACAAAGCCCTGTCAAATGCAAGTTCTGTGACATAGCCATGCATTTCAGCAAGCTGGACATCCATGAGTCCCACTGTGGCAGCCGGACAGAGCGCTGTCCATGCTGCAACCAGCCCATCATGCTCCGAGTACTGGCCCAGCACAAAGATGTGTGTCAGAGTGGAGAGGCCTGGCCTGAGGAAGGTGAGCAACAGTGCAAGGCTACAGAGGGAGAGGGCAGCTTCCAGGACCAGCGACTCTTGGGCAAGATGCAAGGACTGGAAGCTGTGTTTCCATTTGACTGGCTATCTAGCTCTATGCCACGCCTGAGTAGGGATGACCTTCTTGTATATCTGCAGTGACCTTTAAAATGACTAGTCCAGGGAGAACAAGAGGCCAGGGATGGGGGTTTAAGAGTCACACAGAAGACAGAGAACACTATGGGGGATCCTAAACATGAGGGACTTTTTAAAAAATTCTAGTAGTATAATCCTAGCCTGGTAAGGCCCACCTGAATCAACCTATAGGTGAGACCAGAACAAATAAAACTAGACACTCCAGCTTCCTGAACAAAGCTTGGGTCCTTTTCCATAAGAGTGTATTATGGGGCTGGAGAGATAGCTCAGTGGTTGTTAAGAATACTGGCTGTTCTTGCAGAAGACCCGGGTTCGAATCCCAGCACCCACATGGCAGCTAACAGTCCGTAACTCCAGTCCCAGGGGATCCCACAGCCTCTTCTGACCTCCCCAGGCATTGCGCGAGAGAGACCCTGTCTCAAAAGGTCAAAAATAATAAATAAATAATAATAAATAATTTTTAAAGTGTATTATATACTCTTACCATTGCTATAACCAAATACCTGACAAGAAACAGTTTAAGGGAGGAAAAGTTTGTTGTGGCTTACAGTTCAAGGAGATAACAGCAAATTATACTGGGAAAGACGTGGCAGCAGGAGCATGAGGCATGGGTCAAGCTGAGTCCACAGGACTCAAGGACAGGAAATAGAATCAAGCTAAGAAAGCGCCTAGCCTGCCCCCAGTGACCCACTTCTCCCAGTGAGACTCTAACTCCTAAAGCTTGTACAACCTCCCAAAACAGCACCACTAGCTGAGGACCAAGTGTTCAAACACATGAGCTCATGGGGGATGTTACACTTAAACCATAGCAATCAGCAATAGCCAGATGGGAAGTTGCTATAACTCCAGACTGTGAGCCTGTGTGTTGCTTCCTCTCCTCTCCCTCTCCTCTTCTCTCTCTCTCTCTCTCTCTCTCTCTCTCTCTCTCTCTCTTCTCCCTCTTTTTTCCTCTTTCTCCCTCTCCTGTACTGGGGATTGAATTTGGGGCCTTATACATGCTAGGCTAGTACTCTATCACTGATTTATCCTTAGCCCACACTTCATATTCTGTTGACCCAATTCAATAACCTCTCTATTGGAGTGTTTACCAAGGACACAGTCATCAATATGACATAGATTTTTGACAGTATGATAACATGCAGAGAAAATGTGAAACCCCTTAGACAGTAAATCCCACCTAGTCAACAATCTATCCAAGGTCAAAATTGGCCAGCCGAAAACCAGAGAGTATATTCCTATACATTTCCTTCATTCTGGTGTGCTGGGGCTTCCACACAGCCAAGACAGTCTCCAACACGACTTCATTAACAACTTCACCACAACATAGCTTTAACATGGTGATGTGTACAACCAACACCTGGCTGGATCACAGAGCTTGGAAATTGGTAGAAGAGAGAATAGCTCAATTAGACAGGTTTAGCCCCCTTCAATTGCTTAGAAGCCAGTTCTGGTCCAGGAAGCTGTCTCTCCATCAGGGTTGCCTGCTGCCCTGAGTCACTGTGGACATAAATGCTCACCCTGCCAAGCATTACCTGTGTGGCTAAGGCTGCTGCTGGCAGCGTGCGGAGCTCAAGACAAGGCAGACCTGGGACGGTTGATACTGAGTACAGGCTTTGGGGGCAACCAGGGGAGAGTTGGACTAGCCATTGCCAAGAGCAGTCATTTGTGGTGTTTCTGTGTTTATTCAGGGAAGAGAATTTTATCTCCTGAAAAGAAAATCCATTGTGATTACTGCAAACAAATGATTCCAGAAAATAAGTATGTTCGCCATATGGTGAGTAGCAATTAGTCCCTTTCTAATAATGGTGCCAGAAGCCAGTTCATATTCCAAAAAGTGTGATATGAAAAGCAGATTCTGACTCAATTTTGCATAGCACAGATATTAAAGGTTTCTGTGTTAGTTTAATTTTGCTTTGTTCTAGAATTTCCGTTAACCAAATTTGGCATGCATGGTTGATCTTCATTTGTGCCTAGCCCTTCAAGGAGTATCCTTGGCAATTCCCAATGGCCCTGATCACCTCTGACCGTCACCAACCTTCAGGGCCTGGACATTGCAATTTGCACTTCAACGGGGCCTGCCCTTTTAGACTTCTGCCCCTATGGTATTTAGATTGTGAACTCCCTGATGGAACTACAAGGGCTTTCTCCAACTTTCTACAATAAAGCTGATATGCTGGGGACAGAAAAGGGACTCCACAGATATCAGATGATGTGTCTGGCTAGTTGGCTTTGCTTGGGGCCACTCCCAGACCTGTCCCTCCAACAAGCTTAAGCACCTTTTAGTGCATTGCTGTGCCAGGTTGCTCCCCTGTCCTATGTAGTCTTTTCCTCCTGAGAAACTTCGGAGAGCTCTCTCTGAGGATCTCATCTACCCCTCAGGCAGAGAGCTGTTCATCTTTCTAAACCTCGGCTCATAAAACAAAAGAATAGCAGAGATAAAGACACCTTAGAAATGACCTGCTCTTTGCTTTTTTATTATCGTAGTAAAACACTTATGCAGTGTGCCATTGGTGACTGCATTTTGCAAGGCAAGGAGATCTTTAATTCTAGTTCCACACCTTGCATAGATAGGGCATTCAGTTCATCCAAGACCCTAGTTACAAGATGAACCTCACATCTCTTCCAGTGTCTTGGTCCATTTCTACTTCTGTAACAGAAATCACGGGCTAGGGTAATCTATATAAAACAGATTTATTTTTCAAAGTTCTGAAGCCTGAAAATCCAAGTTTATGGTGTCTGGTGAGTGCTTCTTGCTGAACCCTCACATGGCGGAAGGCAGAAGGGCAAGTTAGCAGGTAGCTGGGCTGAACTAAGCCCCTTTTACAATTCCATTAATGTGGGTGGAGCCTTCATGACTAATCACCCCTGAAGGCCCTGTCCCCTGTTAGTACATAGGCAGCACCTGGATTTTAATTTTTTAATTTATTTTTATTTATATGTATGTGTGTGCCTGCCTGTATGTATGTACACCACATACATGCAGTGCCCTCAGAGGCCAGAAGAGGGTGTTAGATCTCCTGGAACTGGAGTTAGAAGTGGTTGTGAGCTGCCTAATGTGGTTTCTGGGACCCAAACCCAAGCCCTACTTCAAGAGTAGCCAAGTGCTTTTAACTGCTGAGCCAACTCTCCAGCCCAACATCTTAATTTTAGAAAGACACTTCCCAATCTTCATCCTTGGAACGCTGAGTCTTTCTTGCAAAGTTGGCTGAGACCTTGACTGTCTTGTCTTTTCTACCATTACCCAACATTAATTTTTTAAATATTTTTTATGTTTATGTGTGTGTGCACGTGCGTGGGTATGAAGGTCTTGCAGAGTGAAGGTCTTGCAGGAATAGATTCTTTCCACTTACCTTTCTTTAACCACTGAGCCATCCCACCCGCCCTTATCTAGCATTTCTAAGTGTTTAGAGTAGGAAGTTTTTAAGGTTATCTCAGCTGTATCATCCAACCATTAAAGCTGAAGTCGTTTTTAAAAATTTCACACATTGCTCACATTTGCAGAAAAAATGTCCGATCTCAAAGACTGTGAAATATCATCAAGATGGAAAGCCCCAAATCCCTCCTTCATCCCTTCCACATCAGGCTGCTGGAAATCAAACCTCCGCAGTGGAGAAAGATGTCCGTCCAAAGGCAAAAAACAGAAACAGATTTCCTCGTCTTTTGGAAAGTTCAACAAAGCAAGCACCAGATGGAACAGTGGGTCTGCCTTTGAAGTCTGAAATCAAGCCAAGGGGTGTTCCCACAGGAGATGAGACAGCCTATGACATCCTGCAGAGGTGTTCTCAGTGTGGAATCTTACTTCCCTTGCCCACGCTAAGGCAGCACCAGGTACCTTGCTTTCTTCTTACCTATGCTCCCTCCTCTCCTGACTGGGAATCAGCTGCACAGTGTCTTAAAGACATCCAAGTCTTGCTGAGGGTGATGGTGCATGCCTTTAACCCCAACACTTGGGAAGCAGAGGCAGGTGGCTCTCTGTGAGAGATCTTAGTCTACATAGCAAGTTCCAGGTCAGCTAGGGCAACAGGAAAATCCTGTCTAAAAATCAGTCAATCAGTCAATCATCAATCAATCAATCGACATTCAAACCTTCCAGGGTGCTCACCACTGTTGCAGCTGAACAGGTCCTTTCCTTCCTACTCCCATTTCTGTGTCCCCAGGTACATTCTGTCACCTCCCAGCCATTGGGTCACTTTTGAGGACAGAGCCAGATCTCTCATCTTCACATCTGCAGCTCCTTCCAGACCCTGACACACACCAGTGCTCCAAAGCTGCAGAGGGAATGAGCGAAGCCCAGGGTCACCACTTATCTGCCCGAGGGATATAGATGAGGCAGCTCAGGCCTGAGCACAGAAAGGCAGCTGGTGGCTTGCATCTAGCAATCCGAGTTTACAGCTGGCTCTCCCACCCTGAATCTTCCATCTAGGACTATTTTCTTTATTTTTTTAACTTTATTTTTAAATCTTTACTGTTATTGAGGTGGGGTGCCACGACAGGCAGGCATGCATGCAGAGACAACTTGGAGTTGGTTCTCTCCTTCCACCTTTATATGGGTTCCAAGAGTTGAACTCAGGTTGTCAGACTTACATAGGAAGCTCTTTTACCTACTGAGCCATCTTGGTTGACCCCTAAGACTATTTTCTTTTAATTATAAGAATTATCATTAGTAGTTAACCACTGTATGTGTTACAATTCAGTGTGCTTAACAAATAGTTAATCTTCCTTAGAAACCTGTAATTTTATTTACTGTATTTTTAAAAACAAGCTGGATTTGGCAGTGCATATCTGTAACCCCAGCAACTGGGAGGCTAAGGCAGGAGAATCACAAGTTTGAGGCCAGCCTGGGCTACACAATGAGTGATTTCTTTCTTATTTTAAAAGATTTATTTTATTATTTATTTATTTATTTATTGGTCTTTTTGAAACAGGGTCTCCCTGTAGCCCCACCTGTCCTGGAACTCAGTATGTAGACCAGGCTGGCCTCGAACTCACAAAGATCCACCTGCCTCTGCCGCCCAAGTGCGCCACCACGCCCGGCCCTAGAGACCTGTATTTTTATCCTCATTCTACAGGCGAGGAAACTGGGAGGATAGAGTACCTCCTCCAGTTAGCTCAGGAGTAGAATCTGGGAGCCCACAGAGCACCCACATGGAGGCTAACAACCGTATATAACTCTAGTTCCAGGGAAATACGACGCCCTCTTCTGATCTCCACAAGCATTGCACTTACATACATGCAGGCAATATACTCATACACAAAAAAATAAAAATATTTTTTGAAAAAAAGAATAGCAGAATCCAGCCTGAAATTCACATGTGAGTTTCCAAAGCTTCTATTCTAAAGCACTGAACTAAACGTCCTAGTTGTCCGATGCTTTTAAAAACACAAAAGCACTAAATTTTGTTGTACTAGACATTATTTAGTATCACAGCAACTAAAACTCAGTTTTAAAGCTAGCTTATAGGATTCTATGTAAGGAATTGAAAGGCTAGTCAGGTTTGGTGGTGAATACCTGCAACCCCAGCACTTAGGAAGGCTGGGGCAGGGGCTGAAAAGATAGCTCAATGGGTAAAGTGCTTGCTGTGCAAACATGCAAACCTGCGTTCAGATCCACAGAACCCACAGTGTAAAACTCTGACCTACACGCATGCCCACATGGGGGAGCACACCCTCACACATGTGTGCATGCGCACACATATACAATTTTTTTTTTGTAAAGGAAAGCTGAGGCAGGAGGATCCTGAGTTCAAGACCAGCCTGGGCTATATAGGGAGCCCAAGACTAGCTAAGTCACATAATGAGACCTTATCCCAAAAAAAGGAAAACAAACAAAACCAAGGGCTGGAGATGTAGCTCAGTGGTAAACATTTACCTATCATGCATAAGGCCTTGGATTCCTTCCCCAGCAACCCCCACCCACCCAGCACACATACATGTATGAAAGTAAAGCTAATTATTCACCTGTCCTGCTTCACTTCTCTAGTCACATCTCTGAGGAGCAATTTCAACCGCCTTGTATGTGTCCTTTCAAGGCTTTATCTTAACTCACATGAACCCTAACAGCATAGATAGGGGTTGCACTGCCTCTGCCCCCCTGTGTTTTCTTAGCATGCTCCTTTTGCTGCCATTTGCCTTTTTTTTTTTTTTACTTTATATGATGCTCAGTCCTACAAAAAGGTAGGTCTAAATCTATTTCCCGGTTTCTTTGTGCATTAAAAATGGAATAATTCATCCTTAGTGGGGGTGCTATTAATGTCACTTTTCCTAGTATTCTGCCGTGTGCTGTATTTCCGTCCATGCTTATCTCCAGCCTTGCCAGCCTTAATAAACAGAAACACAATATGCCCAGTCAAATTTGAATTTCAAAGAAATGGCAAATATTTTTAACATAAGTATGACCCATGCAATTATAAGAGATCGTTATGGTACATTTTTGGTATGAAGTGTTTAAAGCTCACCAGAAAATGGCAGATAAGCAGGAGGCACTAGGTCCCTGTCTTCCCTGGCTGGAAGGGGGAACCTGCTTGCCTGGATGCTTTTTAGTTTATCTAAGGGTTGAGAAGTTACACACAGTTTGCTATATGACTGAACCTCTGGATTAGGAAAGAGGGGGCGTCTTGAGCTCCAGGAGGATGGGGAATTTGAGGCGGGGACTCTGCTAGATTGAGAGAGATTGTAACTCTCTGGAGTACCAGTCTATGGGAAAAGGGGGGCAGAATTTTTTTGCAATCAGGAACTATAAAAACCACTATTTTGCACCAAAATTGCACACCAGCCATTTTTGTCTTTTCTCTAGGCTGACTCCCAACTTGGTAAGGTTATAAAATAAACTGCTTCACTTTCACCACTGTTTCTTACACAATTCTCTGAAATTGAAATTTAATTGAGCATTCTGTATTTTACTTAGCAGATTATTATATAACCACATGCAAACACATACATTTGGATGTTATATGCATCTCTCTGTATCTAATATTACCATGTGGCACTAACCAAGGAAACAATGTGGCTGACTGAGTTCAGTGGCTCCATAGAAGTCCACATGTGCACGTTCCCTGTTCTACCACTCCCAAGATGTCCGCCTCCATTAAATACTACCCCAAGTCTCCAGTCCCCCTCCTGGCTCAGGGTCAAGGACCACCTCATCTCAACCTCTGGGCACCTTTGTCCCAGTGCTCAGCAGCATCCAGAGACATTTCAGAAACAAACATTTCAGGGATGGTGCTGAGATGTAGCTGAGGAGCAGGGTGCTGGCTTGGCATTTGCAAGACCTTGACTTTGATGGGGGGTTGGGGAATGGGGACTGAACAAAAATCACCACCAAAAAAGCTTGTAAGTTGCTTAGCATAAAGTAGAAGCTAGCCCTTGAAGCTTTTTAATATCCGTTTCCCTTTCTTTAGGAGAAATGCCTGAAGTTAGCTTCGTGGAAAGGAAAACAAATGAGGAAGGCCAGCTAGCTCTGGAAAAGGAACGGTACTGGAATTCAGAAGCATTCCTGTTCAGGGTTTCCTGGCTTCCTTCTGTGGTGTGGTGATATTTACTTTTGTTTTGTTTTAATCTTACAAATTTTTTTATTTTATATGTATGAATGTTTTGCGTCCATATAAATGCACCTGTGTCATGCAACGCCAGTAGAGGCCTGGAGAGGGTGCTGAATTCCCTGGAACTGGAATTACTGGCAGTTAGTGGCCATGTGGGTGATGGGAACTGAACCTGGGTCCTCTGCAAGAGCAGCCAGTGCTCTTAACCACTGGGCCATCTCTCCTGCCCTGGTCTTGGTTTCTTCACCATTTTCACAATTGGCACTTAAATTTTTTGACAATTCCATGCTTGAGCTTGCTCAGGAAACCACAGCTGCTGTGTATTCCTGTTTGCAATGGCCATGTCAAGTCCCCTACAGCACTTTTCAGCACTCCACCCCATCCTCAGGCTCTTAGTCTTTCTGCCTGGTCGTCTAAGATGTTCCCTGGGCCTTGGAAGGGGGATAGAGCAGTCTCAACAGTCACCCATACTTAGCACTTCGGGAGGTCTTTGCCTGTGAAAGGAGATAGGTGTCATTCTCTGGGCTTCAGAAGGTGACCTTGGACTTTTAACTTTTTTCCTTCTTTTAAGCAGAGACATTGGTTGGCCCAAGAGGTACAGGTGACCAGTAGGAAAAAGAGTTCCTGTTCTTCCACTGAGTTTCTGATCAGCCATCTAGGCTCAACCACTGGGGTACCCAAGATGACCCAGCTTCTTTCCTGAATAAAGCTCCCGCCAAAAGATTCCTGTCTGCCTTCTTCCGAGTCTTCAGTTTCGGGGCAAGAGATGGCAGGAGCCAGGGCAGTAGGGCCGTGGTGCACCGAAGCTGTAGGAGAAGGGAGGGAAAGAAGGAGGGAAGGAGGAGAAAGGGAGGGGAGGAAGGGGGGAGAAAGGAAGAACGGAGGGAGTGAGGGAGAAATGCCATGGGGTGAAGCATTGAGTGTTGGGGGAAAGGGAGAAGAGGCCTTTAGCAGAAAAGTAAGGAGTGAGTGGTTAAGAGGGCCTGCTGGAGACAAAACACTCAACTTTCTGCCCTGGGTTTTTTCAGGATGGTTACCCTGGGTAGGAAAGAGACAGGTAAGGTTGGTGTGTTAGGTATGTGCCACCTTCTGGAAACTGGAAAGGGAAACCCAGCTGAAGCTTTGTTATGTTCAAGTCAGGTCTTAAGGGTTATAGCCACCAGTTGGGTCTCCCGAGGTCAGGATTGGACAGATGGTAGAGAAGACCCTCCCAAAGGCAGAGCTGGGGCAGACTTCTTTGCTGCGTGCAGACTGCAGGGCAAGGCAGGACACACGGCGATGCTTCCCCCGAGGTGGGCCAACCTCCAGACTCCTGGCCTCCTCTTCCAGGGCGCCCTCCTGGTCCTTCTGTGCAGCGTCCTCCGCGCCCTCCATCCACACCATCAAAAGGATCCGACATCTCCCGGTTTGGAGCCCCGCGGCCGGCGGTCATGGGCAGGGCCGGCCGGTGGACGGCGGCGCGTCACAAAGGCGGCCGGGCGCTGCCAGGACCAAGGCGAGGGCAGCAGGGCTCTGCCCCGGGATGCTCGCGGAGCCGCAGCTCGGGCGAAGGGACAGGTACGCTCGGTGTCCCTGCAGCCAGAGGGGCGTAGCGAGCGGGTAACGGGCGAGCGTGGGAGGCCGGAGGCACCCTCGCACAGCTATGGTGGGCCTGGACCGCCGGGAGGCCCCATGGGAGGGACGCGCTGCGGGTTCCTCCCCCTCTGCCCCCAGCTCCTCATCTCTGATGATGGGATGGTCTTGGGTTTCCCTCACTGGTTGGCAGCTGTGTCTTAGTATGGTGCACCAAGCCTAGGTTTGGGAAAACTAGTGTAGGTTCAGATTCCACACGCACACCCTTCCGACATCACCTTACCAGAAAATTGCATTAATCCCCAACATCTCCATTTCTCTATTTTGTAAAATGAGCGTGTTCACATCTTCCTCACAGGCATAATGCGGAAGTACCTTGGCCCCAACTCACTGATGGCAGCCAGCGCTTACAAAGCACTGCCCCTGCGCCAGGCAGTGCTTTCCCCACAACAGCTCATTTAAACTTCCCAGAACTAGGAGAAAGGAATTACTACCGCCTTATTGATGGATGTAAAGACTGAGGCACAAAGAAGTTAACTAAGATCACAGTAGCTATTGGCGGCAGGCTTCGAAGTCCCACTGCTTCTCACAGGTGGGGGTCTGCTACTCAGTCATATATTTGGGGATAATTCCTCTAATTTCAAGACTTAGCAGGTTTTAAAAAAAAAAAAAAAAAAAAAAAAGTCACTAACTCTGGGACAGGGAAATGGCTCCGTGGGTTGAGCTGAAATCCCCAGGAGCCATATAAAGCTGTAACTGTAATCTCAGCTGTCCTACAGTGAGACAGGAGGTGGGGTCAGGAAAAGCTCCCAAAGTTCCTGGGGGGAAGGGGGCAGGCTAGCCCAGCTTCTGCAGTGGCAAACAGGTGACCCTGTCTCAAACAAGGTGAAAGGTAAAGATCTCTAGAAGCTGTCCTCTGACCTCCACAGGTGCAACATGGCAGGTGCACACACACATGCCTGTAGCCCACAGAACATAGTCTTTCTAGCTATGATTTTTGTCAGGGTTTAATTTAGTGTGCCCCCCCCCACACACACACACACAGAGCTCTGGGAAGTACTACACACCCAGTTTATGCCACACTGAAGATCTGGGTTACCTGCATGCTAGACAAGCACTCTATCACCCAGCCATATCCTCAGCCCTTGATTTGTTTTTTAAAATCCATTTAGTTTTTCCAGATCACCTTTTCGGCCCCTTCATCCATACTGTCCCCAGCAGAGGCTCACAACCTTGGGCAGATTACAAGTGATGGAAGAGATCCCCCTCCCCCTTTTTCATTTGTTAAATTGAATGTACAAGGTCAAGATAGGCAAATAGTTTTTAGTTCCTGAAATGTAAACATGTCACATGTATACTTCTGTGGCTTCATACATCCTGTTCCCTGTACCTGGAATGCTCTCAGTTCTTTCTCTACCATGAGGTCAACCTGGTCCACCTTACAAATCCTACTCACCCTTCAAGACCCAGCTGAGATGTCGCCGCCTCTGAGCAGCCTTTGTTACTTCTTTACTCAAAATGTATTACCTTTTCTTTGTACTACCCCTATCAGGAGTAAGCATGGGCCTGCTAACTTCTCTCACTGTTGAAACCTGTTAGGTGCCTTGTGTTTTGTTTTGTTTTGTTTTGTTTGACACAGCGTCTCCCTACATAGTCCAGGATGGCTTGCAACTGCTGTATAGCCAGGTTAGCCTTGAGTTTGTGATCCATCTGCCCTCAGCCTCCAGACTCCTGAGATTACAAGAGTATCCAGCTTTTCATTGTGTTGAAATTAGGTGCTGGTCTGTATCCCTGGATAGATGGATGAACTGTGAAATCCTTACAGGCATAGGCTGTGTCATGTATTTATCATTTACCACCCGCTCCTGGTGCAGTGCCCAATGCAATCCAGTAAGACTACAGAGGAAGTTCATTCAGTTGAGTTTGATTTGTGCTTCGCAGATAACGGTTCTTCCTTTGTACTCCTCACAGATAACACAAGATTGATTTTCTTTCTGAATCGTTTTGGGAAGCCCTGCTCACCACACTGCTACACTGCATATCTGGGTACTGTGATGGATGAAGAAGAAGAAGAAGAAGTGATCCAGCCCCAAGAGCAGAGCTGCTGGGCTGCTCTGCCAGATGTGTGCCTGCAACGTGTTTTCTGGTGGCTGGGAGACAGGGACAGGTCCAGAGCTGCCCTGGTCTGTAGAAAGTGGAACCAGATGATGTATTCAGCTGACCTCTGGAGATACAGGACCATCACGTTCAGGGGGAGACCTTCCATGATACACATGTCTGAATTTGAGTCAGCGCTATGGTATGTTAAGAAATTTGGCCATTACTTGGAACACTTGGAAATTAAGTTCTTGAACGCTTACAATGTTGTCTTGACCAAGAAGTTCCAGGTCACCATGGGAGGCCTTCTGTCATGCCTGGGCAAGAGTAACAATCGTCTAAAGTCATTCTCCATCCAGCATCTGGAGCTAGACCGACTGGTCTGGAGGAACAGCATCAGGAGCTCTCTGCTCAAGAGCTTGAGCTTTTTCTTAAAGAAAATGGGCAAACACCTGGACCATCTTAGCCTGAAAGGGACCCGGCTGACAGTGGAGCAAGGCTGTCACACTCTCAATTCCTTGAGCTACATGCGGAATGGAAACATGGTCTCGGAGCTCAATATTGAGGACTTCTTCAGCCATCACCTGGCCGTCTATGGCAGCTCCCAGTTTAACAAGACCATGGCCACCTTCCACAACCTGACATCCCTGACACTCAACTACAACTGTATCTCTGATGAGCTGCTTGAGACCTTGAGTGAGAACACCACTGGCATTCTCCGGACCATGAACATCAAATGCCACATTCATGATCCCCATGGCCAGGTAGTCTGGGGCATGTCCTGGGCTAAGTTGGCCAGGCAAGCCAACAACCTGAAGGTGAATTTCTTCTTTGAGCGGATCATGAAGCACGAGCACTTGGCCCGCATTCTTCTGCAGGAGATCCCAGTCAGGAGCATCAGCTTGAGAAGCTGCTATTTCAGTGAACCAGACTGGTCCATGCGGCCCACTCTGATGGACCTCCTGCCCTCCTTCCGGAACACTCTGCAGGTAAGTGGGAAGTAAGGCCCGGGGAGGCTTATGGGGAGCCCTGCCCATAGGAGTGCTGCTCCCTAGTCTTGGCTGACCTTCTTCATGCTCACTTAATCCTACCTTAAAGTTCTAAGAGATGTTACAAAACCAAACCTCCCCCACACCCTCAAGAGAACAACAGATGCCTTAAACCACTGCTCACTCCCTGCACATGGGACTCAAGGAACTTGCTGGTTAGTTGTCAAACCTGGGAAAGCCCTTTTATCCTTAGAGCTGTGAAGCCTGAGCTAGGAGGGTGAACAGCCTCTTCTCACCTTCTCATTGGCTTACAGCAGTGTGCAGGAGACCCTGTGGTTCCTGTGGTCAGCACTAAATGGAATAAATTTGGTCCCAGCAATGCCTGTTCAGTGGAAAGATAGAACGGGAAGAATCAAACCAGACTCCCCCCCAAAAAAACCCAAATATGAAATATATCCTTAAAGAACTATAAAGTTCTGGGCTGTTCTTTTTTTAAATATTTTAATTATTTTTATTTTATGTGTATGAGTATTTTGCCATCATGTATGTAAGTGCATCCATGTTGTGCAATGCCCACAGAGTCCAGAAGAGGGCATCATATTCTCTTGGAACTGGAGTTACAGATGGTTGTTAGCCACCATGTGGGTGCTGTGAATTAAACCCCAGTCCTCTGCAAGAGCAGTCAGTGCTCTTAACCTCTTAGCCATCTCTCCAGTCCCAGGAGATGATGTTGACCTCCTGCTGCCAGGCAGGCCCTACCTCCTAAAGATTCCATAGCATCCCAAGGCAGCACACCAGCCAGGGAACAAGTATTCAAACCACGAGCCTATGGGGGTATTCTAGATTCAAACCATAACAGCAGTGGTATTTATGCCTTTTAAAGGAAAGTGTTACAACCACTGTGAGGTGCTTAGATGGGACAAAAAGATCTTGATTTTATAACTGCCAGATAAAAGAATAACCCAGGGGCTGGAGAGGTTTTTGAAGGTTTACATCTTCCCCTGGATCTAGTATTCTCTCTGCTTCCTGGTCAGTGGCTCTGTGGGTAGCCATTCTCTTCCACTCCTGCTACCCCAGATGGAGCCACTCTACCATGCTGTCCCTGCCACAGTAAACTGAGATCCACCATGTTTCTGTCACAGTGATGCAAAAGTGACCAGTGCAACCACTAGTACAGATGGACTGTGTGATGCTTCCATCTCATTTGACAGTCACATAACTGCAAGGCAGGCATCATGATGATTTCTTGGTGCTACAGAATTCAAAGTGTGATGGTCTGCCAATCACCCGACCAGTCCATTGCAAGGCTCTAAGACCAGCACCTTGGTCTCTTGGTCCAAATCCACTGCCCTTAAGCTCCAGTTTTTGCACACTTGCATGAGATCATGATCATTTTCAAACTGGGGAAAAACCAATTCTGTCTATACTAAAGATGTACAGACCCTTTCTTATAGTCACGCTCAAATCCCACCCTCTGAGAACTAACTGCCAAAACCACCATGTTTTTCTGGCCCAAAGCCAGGTTGTGGAGATGTTGGGGAGTGATCCAGGCACCTCTGCTCCCTCACACCTCCCCTTTTGGTGATTTTCTAGAAGTTAACATTTGAGTTCAACAACAACCATGAGTCACTGGATGAACAGCTACATGTCCTCATCCTGGCCTGCAGGAATCTGTTTTACTTCAAAATCTGGGCTTTCCTTGATGTAAAGTTTGTAGAGCGGATCCTGAAGAGCCAGGAGGAGGGGCAGTGTGCCCTACGCACACTCAAGGTAAAAACTCCTGCTGGTTGCACTAGATGGAGTAGGGACGGCTAGACACAGTGCCTCTGATCTGATGCTGGGTGGAGGCTGGGAAAGGGGGAAGATGTGGAATGGTCATTGTCCCTGAATCTGCCCACTGGAGATGACCAGCTCCACAGACAGGATCTCAAAATCTCTCCTACTGTTTCCCATGGAGCTAACCAACTGTGGGTGGAAAATATTGGGGGAAAATAATTACCGTACTGAAGATGTATACAATTTGTTCTTGTTCTCTAAGCAATAGAGTAAAACAACTTCACACATAACATATACATTGTATTAGGTATTATATCTAGAGGTGATTTTTCAGGCCTTGCTGTATTTTGTATAAGGCACTTGAATATCCATGCATTTTGGTATCAAAAGGGAGTCCTGGGATCAGTCAGCCATAAATATCAAGAGAAACTGTACTTGGGCTTTTCCTGATTCTTCCAATAATTATGTGTGTAGATCATTTGAATTGTTGTTAGGTATGAAATAATGTAATCATGCCCCTCTCCCTCTCCCTCCCCCTCTCCCCCTCCCCTTCCTTCCCCCTCCCTTTCTCTCTCCCTCTCTTTCCGTGTGTGTGTGTGTGTGTGTGTGTGTGTGTGTGTGTGTTTCTCTGTTGGAACAGGTGAGAATTTACACAAACAAATATGACACAAATGAAGAGGATAGAATCCTGCGGGAAATTTACAGGAAGTACAGAAAGCTGATTGATTCAGAACTTAATTATTTTGTCATCACCTACCCCGCGATATAAAGAGCAGTCTCCAGAGGAAGAACTCTACATGCACTTTGAACCTGAAAACCTGGATCCCGATGAACTACTCTTGTGGCTCTCATGCCCTCATCCCTTTTTCTTCTCTCTCCTTTTTGGCAGTTCCTCACCAACATGAACAGCCTGGTAAAGGTTAGACTGCTGATAAAGGGAAGGCCGCTGTCCTAGTTTGTTCTTCATTGCTGTGACAAAACACTCTGACCACTACCAACTTGTGGAGGAAAGGGTTTATTCAGCTGACATTTCCCAGGTTGTAATTCATCAGGGAGCCGGAGGTAGGAACTCAGGGCAGGAACCTGGAGGCAGGAGCTGGAGCACAGGCCATGGAGGAATGCTGCTTACTGGCTTGCTCCCCTGGCCCCTGCTCAGCCTGCTTTCTTATGCAACACAGGCCCACTTGTCCAGGGATGGCACTACCCACAGTGGGCTGGTTCCTCCCACTTCACTCAACAATCAAGAAAGTGCCCCATGGACATGGCCACAGGCCAGTCCAATGAAGGCAATTCCCCAACTGAGGCTCCCTAAACCCAAGTGTGTCAAGTTGACACTAAAGCTATCCATCACAAATGACCCCTTGTCAACTTGACAAACATCACTATTAAACCATAACCTTTCCAATTCTTGTCCCCAAGATATGATATGATATTAACATTAATATCAAAACATAAGACAGTATATCCTTTAAAACCCCACAGTCCTTAAAAAAAATCCATACACTTAAAAGTTCTTAGTCTCTTTTAAGTCTCTTAATTGTGGGCTTCTGTAAAATCCAAAACAAGTACTGTCTTATTTCAAAGGGAAGAATAAGCAAAACCAAAGTCCTGCAAAGTAACTCAAGGCTGAACATCTGGGATTCACTCATGATCTTCTGGACTCCAAAGGGTTCTGGCAGCTCCACTTCTCTGACTCTGCAGTCCACAGCACACACAGTTCATCTCACAGACCCAGGCCAGCTCCATTCCACATCTACTGCTGTCCTTGGTGGTCATCCCATGGTCCCGGCATCTCCAAAAAGCTGGGGTCTCCACTGAAACTGAGGCTACACCTTCACTAATGGCCTCTTCTTGCCTCTTGGGGTGCAAAGCCTCAGTTTCTCTCCATGACCCCTTCAATCCTGGGGTCTTCGCTGCAACTGAAGCTGCACTTTCACCTATGGCCTTTCCTGGCCGCTGTGTGCCAAGCCTCAGCTGCTCTCTGTGACCCCTTCACGCTTTCAACACCAGAACCATGCAGGAGACTCTTACACATTACCAAGTCCTGCTTCCAGCTTGAGATAGAGGCTCGGGTCCCCTCTGTGTGCTGACCCTGAGGAAATACCTCCCAGAAGACTTCACCTCAGTGATGCTGGTCTCTTGTTACTGATTTTTCAGCCCCAGCTGACCAGCATCAATTATCCCAGTAAAGCAAAGGTTTTGCTTCAGGTTCTGGTCTCTTCTTAATCACAGCTGATTCTTCAGCCCCAGCCGACCAGAACCCACAGATTCTCAATCCAAAATCTCACATGAACAGCCCTGATAGTCTCCGCTTCCCTTTGAAGCTTCACAAGCCAGGCCTCCATTGCTCACAACTCTTTCAGCATAACCTTTCCAAGCTCCACTTCAACAAACTCTAAGCGCTCAATGGCTTTTCCAGCCCAAAGTTCCAAACACTTCCACAGTCCTCCCCAAAACACCAAGATCAGGTCTGTCATAGCAATATCTCACTATCTGGTACCAATTTCTGTCCTAGTTAGTTCTTCATTGCTGTGACAAAACACTCTGGCCACTACCAACTTGGGGAGGAAAGGGTTTATTTATCTTACCTCTCCCAGGTCACAGTTCATCAGGGAGCCGGAGGTAGGAACTCAGGGCAGGAACCTGGAGGCAGGAGCTGGAGCACAGGCCATGGAGGAACGCTGCTTACTGGCTTGCTCCCCTGGCCCCTGCTCAACCTGCTTTCTTATGCAACACAGGCCCACCTGCCCAGGGGTGGCACCACCCACAGTGGGCTGGTTCCTCCCACTTCACTCAACAATCAAGAAAGTGCCCATGGACATGGGCCACAGGCCAGTCCAATGAAGGCAATTCAGTTGAGGCTCCCTCAACCCGGGTGTGTCAAGTTGACACAAAGCCATCCAGCACAGCCACCATGCTACTTAAAAATGCTATCTTTACCAACAATCCAGGTTGATTGGTGTTGTGTTTTGACACTCTCACTCAGCCACTGAGCAAAAACCCAAATTACTCAAAGTAGTTTCCTGTTTAGCGCGTCTGACCCCTGCCTACCTGCACTCCTGGACAGGTATGACCAGCCAGTGGGCAAACCATCTACAAACTGACGTTACCCATTTAGAAATACCTTGTGTCCTGGCTAACCTTCATGTCAGAGCCTCCTGATCTTGAAGTTTGTCAGGCCTGATCACACACAAATGGAACTCACCAGCATGCCCTTGGATGAGGCAGGACTATGCCCACTTTCAGAAGGAGCCTGCCAGGGCTGGAACACCCCTCCACAGAAGGAACTCAGGCAGCAGGTTATCAGCTCTGTGAAGGAAAGTGCCTGCCTTGGCTTGGTCTGTGTCTCCCTTAGTTTCCCATCCCCATGACATCATGCTCAACCTGCCATGCACACTCAGCCTTCAGGGGTGAGGACAGACCGGAAGTAGCCATAGCACCCTATTCATGAAGAATTTGTAATGTTGTAGAGAAATGTTCCTAATGCAATGTTAAGTATAAAACACGCACACGCACAAAATTATGTTTAGTGTAAGATCATATAAAACACATCTAAAATTATTTTGAAAATATAGAAGAGTTATAACAAAAATGTTACTGGGAGGGTAGAGTTATAGGTGGGTCTTTTTCTTTTGTGTTTTCCCATATGTTCCAACTTTTCTAAAATAACAGATGTCATTTTTAATAATTTGGAGCATAATGTAGTGTGCTTCAAATCACGAGTGATCTTTGGGTCCTGAGAGTGTCTTAAATGTCTTGGTTTTTTCATAAACATGCACGCTGTTAGCTATCATTACAGCATCAGTGGACAAAGTGTGCTTTAGTTGACTCTTCTTCCACTCATCTCTCCAATTCCTCCCTTGTAAACTCCCCTACCTCTGTCTTCTTTAACATCATATGTCCTTTTTCCCACCCCCTGTCCTTCCTCATCATCTATTTTTACCTTCCCTTGGTCTCCTTTCTAGTTACTTTACCCACATTTGATAGACAGATGATAGATAGATAGATAGATAGATAGATAGATAGATAGATAGATAGATAGATAATAGATAGATATGATAGAGAATATATACATATATATACATATAGATATGTACACATTACAGGCTAGGGTCTGCATATGAAAGAAACATGTGGCTTTGTATTTCTGGGTTTGGGTCACCTTGCTTTCCAGATTCACTCATTTTCCTACAAATTCAATAATTTCATTTTTCTTTATAGCTAAATAAAATTTCATTGTGTCATATACATACCACATTTTCATTATCCATTCATCTGCTGATGGACATCTAGGCTGGTTCTATTTTCTTGCTATTGTGTTGTGTTCAACAATGAACGTAAATATGCAGGTCTCTCTGTAGTAGGATGTGAAGTCCTTTGGGTATTGCCCAGGAATGGTATAGCTGGGTCATATGGTAGTTCTAGTTTTAATTGTTCTAAAAACGTCCGTACTGATTTCTATAATGACTATACTAGTTTGCACTTCCCACCAGCAGTGCATAATGGTTCCTCTTTCTCCATATCGTCATCAGCATTTGATGTCAGACTTCTTGACTATAGCCAGTCTGACTGGGGTGAAGGTGCTATCTCAAAGTAATTTTTTAATATTTATTTATTTATTTATTTATTTTGGTCTTTTTGAGACAGGGTCTCCTTGTAGCCCCAGCTGTCCTGGAACTCACTATGTAGACCAGGCTGGCCTTGAACTCACAAAGATCCACCTGCCTCTGCCTCCCAAGTGCTGGGATTAAAGGCATGAGCCACCACGCCCAGCTTTATTTATTATTTTTATTTTATGCGTATGTGTATTTTGCCTGCATGTAGGTAAGTGCACCTGTGCAATGCCCAAGGAGGACAGAAGAGGCTGTCGGATCCCCTGGAACTGGAGTTACAGACAGTTGTTAGCTGCCATGTGGGTGCTGGGATTTGAACCCGGTTCTTCTGCAAGAACAACCAGTGTTCTTAACTGCTGAGCCATCTCTCCAGCCCTCTCAAAGTAATTTTAATTTACATTTCCCTGATAACTTAGGGGCATTGAGTACTTTTTAAAATACTTATTGGCCATTTGTATTTTTTCTTTTGAGAACTGTCAGTCCATTTCATTGACCCATTAGTTGATTCATTTGAGGTTTTTGTGCACATAATTGCACACTTCTCCTTTCGGCAGATATAAATGAATAAAGTACCAGAATTCCCATAATGATTGGTTCATTTCAGATTTCATGGCTTGCTTGTGTCTTATTTTTGTGTACTGTGTCCATATTTATGCATTTCTGTCATTTACTGAAGTTCACAGCTACTTTTCAACTTTCAATGCATGTTCACAGTCCCTGTCATCTAACCCCCACTTCAGTGCTGATTGGCAGACATGGTTAACCATTCATAAGCACTTAGAAAAGATCATACTGGTAAATGTAAGGTGTCTCCCACCTGTAGGAAGACCTTGGTCTGATAGGGAAAGACACCTTACAGTGTCATAATTTGCTGAAACTGGAGGGACCCTAGGAAGCAATCCAGGTCTGTGTGGCACTGGAGTCAGAGAAGAGCCTCAGTTTGCATCCTGACCACCAGGCAGACAGATCGGTTTAATAATTTATTTGTAGTGTAGACCAGTTCCTTTCATCTAAGACACTAGGGTCTAAGCATATAACTTCAGAGTTATGCAAAGGATGTGCACGTAAATGTATTTTACGGACATGTTTTCTGTAAAAGAGTGGATTCATTTTATAGATCTGCAAGCTTTGTCTCATACGTAAAAATAGTAGATGGCCAGATTCCCGTTCCTGCTTCCCCATCAGTCTAGTGCCTCATCTCACACCATTGTGCCCCTCAGAACCTCCAGAGTGTGAAAAACATACATAACGCCCTGCTCTGGTTGCTTAAAAAGTTCTGAACTGATGGACCTCTTAAAAAGAATGGTCTCACAGACCCTAAAAAATTCCCCAGTCACATGGAGAACTACTGCA